TAACGTCACGTCTATCTTATTTAAACATGTTTCTGGATGCAAAAAGAATCTAAAAAACATGAAAAATCAAAGCACTTTGTAATCGAAGAAAAAAAAACCTTGTGGAAAGGATAGTGTCACAACTTGGAAGCATGATGACCTTAGCATTAAGAAAACTATACTAATCCTCGTTGTTGTAGGCGAACTACCAATTAAATGTTTAGCAAACGAAACCTTTGTTGAGTATACAAATTCATCTAGGCATAAGCTTAGTCAGGATGTTATAAAGTATTATACTGAAGAAAGGAAAAATAATTGGTTTCTTACTTGAGTAATCCACAAAACACCATACATTTTACCATGGATACTTGGACGTCCTCATGTCAAAGAGTCAAGTATATGGTAGTAGTGGTTCACTTGATTGATCATATTTGTGTTATGCATAAAAGAATCATAAATTTTAGGCCTATAGATAATCCCAATGGAGAGATATGGAATATGAGTGGGGAATAAAGAATGTCACAAGCATGATCTTTGATAATGCAACTTTAAACAATGATGCATAAATTTTTGATACAAAAATTGCCTAACTTGTATAATGGTGGAAATTTCTAGATAAGGTGCATGAGTGCATGACTCAAATCTTGAACCTCATTGTCAAAGATGGGTTAAAATGACACAATTATTATGTGGAATATGTCCAAAAAGCCATTAGATACACAAGACAAACCACCAAAAGTTTAAAAAATATATGAAAGAACGTGGATTAGAATCAAAGAAGTTCTTATGAGGTCATTGTCCTACAATATCCACTTAGAGTTAATACCATAAAAACCATTAATTTTATAGCCTAATTCTAAATTAACCCTAAATTATTTTTTGTTCTTTGAAAGCCATTATTTTTACCAAGACCTTTTGATTTTGCCATTTTAGCAGGTTAGTAGGTCACAATCTTGCCTACATGTCGATTTTTGTTGACGTAGAATCGTTACATGGACTTGAAATTAGATGTGACACTAACTAAGCCCACCATGTCAGCAGTAACTGACTTCGCATCATATTCAAAAAAACGTTGAAGAAATGTTGTGGATGGGAGTAAGACTCTCCACCTCGTGTTTCTAGGCTAAGCAAATAACCAGTTGATCCAAGGCTTGAGTTGTTGATATTATGCATCATCAATTTACTTAACATTTACTTCAGAATTTCGTACTTTCGTATTTTATTGCTTATAAAGACGAATTAAAATGTATAATACCTTTTTTTATTTGTTTCTCTATATTAAACTTACTTTACATATAAATATGTTTTTGTTGTATTTTTTATGTATCTTTTGTATTTTCTTTTTACATATTTAATGTATTTGTTATGTATACGAAAAAGTATGTATTTATGTAGCACAAAATACATTTTATATTAAAAAAATGCTTTTTATACATAAAAATATATAAAATACGTATATTATACATATAAAATAAATATAATACATAATTTATAAAATACATATATTATGCATACGAAATAAATATAATAGATAATTTATACATACATTACGATTTTTGTAGATATAAATACATTAAATACGTTTTAATACATAAAAAACGTAAAACGTTTTTGTTTTTAACAAATATATAAAAAACGAAAACGGTTTTGGATATAGACCACCTACGTACGAAAGAATAAGTTTTTGTTATTAACATATATAAAAGGGAAAATGACTTGTAAGGGTAACGAAGTATTAGGTTTGTATAAAAAATATCATTGAGCTTTTTCTTGTACACATATCACCAATCAACTATAGCTTTTGTACACATATGACCATTAAACTTCACCTTTATTTAAAAAATACCATTATGTTACCGGTAATAGTAGGTTACCAGCCACATAACATGCCACGTGGCATGCCATGCGGCTGCTGACGTGGATTTTATTGTATATTATATACACATTATACCATTAAACTATTTTTTGTACACATTATACCATTTTTTTTGTGTTCATTTTACTATTAAACTTTTTGTACACATTTTACCATTAATCTTACATAATTTATTCAAAATATATCATCTCAAAAAATACATATTTTTACATAAAATGGGTTTTCCATCACTTATTGTGACATCCTGATTTTGTAAGGTTTGGAGGAAAGAGTTTATTTTTGACAATGATACTAAGCACTTTCTTTTACAACTACATTGTGAATTTATGTTGGTCATACATTGATTGAAACCCACAATGTTTGAACTTGAGACTTCTATCTGGAGTGGCGAAGAAATAATCAATTGTTCATTATATTATCTAATGTCTAATAAACATATTCTTATAAGTTATTTTCTTAGGAAACTACGTTTAAGGCACACTTATAAACTCATGAAACATTTTGTACATGTTACCTTATTATAATCCCCCCTCTTCTTGATTATGATTGATGATTAAAAAAGTGCATTGAAATTATGTCGTTGTTACCGATAGGAAAATGACTTATAATGATAAGTTTACTAAAATTTAGAAAATCAGTAAAATCCACATCAAGTGATGGGAAGCCTACTTTTATGTAATAATTTGTATTTTTTGAATTGATATTTTTTTTCAATAAATTATATAAAATTAATTGTAAATCTGTACAAAAAAAGTTTAATGGTAAAATGTGTATAAAAAAAAGTTTAATGCTATAATGTGTACAAAAAATAGTTTAATGGTATAGTATGTACATAATAAACAGTAAAATCCACGTCAACAGCCACGTGGCATGTTATTACAGATAATATAATGATATTTTTTGAACAAATGTGAAGTTTAATGGTCATATATGTACAAAAGTTATAGTTGGTTGGTGATGTGTGTACAAAAAAAAAGTTAAATGATATTTTTTGTACAAATCTAATACTTTATTACCCTTACAAGTCATTTTCCCTATATAAAAAAACGTATCTTATAGCCCAATTGGTAAGGCACTTGCCAACATTATTCTATGTGTTTCCAAAAATAATGGTTTTTGAATTTATTATTTTTTTTTTAAAAGGTTAATTTAGAATAAGACTGGAAAAATAATGATTTTTATGGTATTAACCATTCTCTTTATGAGTTGTTAAGTATTGCCTGAGAGCTAAGAGAGGCATTTTCAACGTAATAACTTTTGATTTTTTTTATATAATGTTTAGTATTATTTTTAAATTTTGAGTATTATTTTATTTTTAAAACTTTTAAGTATTTTTGTTACTAATAAAAATACTCGCATTTCGATGTTATAAAAGAAATAGTGAAGTTTGTTGAAGATTCAAGACAAAACATATATTGCATTGTCATCATTAAACATGTTGGTCTTCCTATTTTTCCAAAAACTTTTAGATATCAATAAATATCTTTTTATTTGTTACAAACCTACGTCGATGCGTCTTTGTGTGTGTATAGCCCTAAGCCTCTAACTCTGCTAGATCGACCTAGGTTTGACTTAACTGCTTCACAATGATGGACTGAAAGGAAGAAGGAGCGAATGAAGGGGAAAGAAAGAAGGAGACGATGAGGTGGGGCTGATGGTTGGTGATTCTGGTGTTGACCGGTGCAAGGAGGTGGAGGTAATGGTTTGACGAGTGTGATGGTTGGTGATGGCGACATGAAGGCATTTTAGAGAAGATGGTGATGGTTGTTGTATGGTAATGTAATTTGGTGGATTATGGTGGTTGACGTCTGTTTTGGTCAAGGCTCCCCCTTTTCTCGTTCTTGATTCAACAGTTCTAGTACAAAGCTCAAAAAGAGAGGAGTTTCCTTCCCAATAGCAATAATGATGCTTCATGGTTGTTCTTGTTCTTGAATTTTTGTTTTTCTTTATAGTGGTTAAATAGTTGCAACTAAAATTGGACTTTAATTACAATAGATGATGTTAGCTTGAAATATGGTGTTTTTATTTAGAAATAACATCATACCAATGGTGGTTTATATGAGAGAGAGAGAGAGATATGTATTTTTATTTCGTTAAATGTGATTTAAAATGAGGACAAAAAATAATTTCACATAGGTTTAACTAGATATTTTAATAGAGTTTATAAAAATGATCGATAATGGAACAAAATTAAAACTAAAATAACCATTGGTATGCAAGATTTGCTCTAAATGGTCATTCACTAAAAAAAATTCATAAAGATTATTTTAAGAAACAAAAATAGAAAAACAAAAAGACCATTTGTGAATGTTTATCTTTTTTAATTAGCATTATATTTTTTTATGCCAAATAAAAATTTACACATTATTAGACATTAAGGTATGGTAAAATTTGCTATCAACTTTAAACTTCTTTATGCTATTGGGTCATTTTTTATCTATTTTTTTAAACTTCAAACTTAAGTCTTGTTTATGTGCCCATGTATCAATTTGTCTAGACCTATATAAAAACCGGTCTCGAATAGGACCAAAAAAAAGATCGAGATCAAACCGGTCTAAAACGAAACATGAACGAAAAAAGATCGATCCTAAAAAAAATACCGGATCGAAAAAGACTGTCCCAGACCGATCCGAAAAAAACCTGACCATTTCGAGACCGATCCATAAAAAGACCGGACCAGTCTCAAACCTAACGAGACCGGTCTAGAAAAAAAATATCGCTAACCAAACTTTATGAATATATATACTTTCTTTGTTAGTTATATAATTTTTAATCACAAACTATCTAATTTATTTCATTTTTTCTTTTATTAAATTTAAATTATCATTTTTAATAAATCTTAATTTATCATTTTGGTGATAATCTCATATTTGTAAATGGAAAAAACTCTAAACTAAAACAAAAAAATCGAAAAATACCGAAACGGAACAAAAAAACCTGTAAATTGAACCAAAAAAATACGCACGGAAAGACTGGGTTCAAAAAAAAAGACCGGTTCAAAAAAAAAGACCAGTCTGAAAATTAAGATTTATTAACCCTGATTAAAATGTGGATTAAAATGACCGTTTTATTAACCCTGATTAAAATGTGGATTTAGATATTAATAAGCTTATGGATTCAAAACTCGGATGTATCTTGTTTGTCCCATTACTAGAAAGAAATATCTACCTAGACTTTTTGACAATGGTGGAATTTTGTGTATGTTGAAAATTTTAGCCTTTGAGATATAAAATCACATCCACACAAATTTCAGAATTTTGTGGTACGCTCATTTTTCAAACCCAAATTTCAAGATATTTGTTCAAGATTTTGTTGTTTAGTTGATCCTATTATTGTTATCCTTTAAAAGCGCGAATGGTGCACACCATCTGTTTGTGATAATGGCAACTACAAGTGCTCCGATCTTCCAGTCATGGGCACAAATCGTATCGGCTTCTCGTGCTTCATCCAGCAGTAATTTAACTGCTTTCGTCGCAAACACTCATGGTACGCCGTTTCTTATATCTATACTTGTTTGCTTCATTGTCTGCTCCATTTGATTTCTTATATATCAAGTAAATTGGAGCAATTCACTTGAGGATTGGAATTAAGAAGATAATCAGTGCAAATTTTCAACCTAAAACCATGAATTCCCGCTCCATAAACTGTATAACAATCTTAAACTTGAGCTATTCGTAACAAATCGGGTTTATATTATCCGACATAATTCGTAAGCCAATTACAGGTAGTAAACAATTAATGGTTTCTCCCTTACAAGAACATCAAAAATGGAGGAATCCGGTGAAGACCAACCGGAAGATAAGGGTTGCGGCTGTCGTAGCAACTCCTGCCGCCGAGGAAGTTAAAGAGTACGTTTCCGGTTTCCACTCTCCTTACATGTTTTCATCGTCGATATTAGCTCGTTATTAACAGAAATCCTTGGTCATTTTCCAGAGCAGTTCTTCCCTCATGGGCGGATTTCGACATTGGGCGAGCTCCAGTCTACTGGAAAACAATGAATGGCCTTCCTCCTAGTTCCGTACGTTTTTATGCATTAACTTCGATTTATATCAAATATATATCTTCCATTTCATAAATCATACTTGTGTTTCGACTTTCATATCTAAATCATCAATCGAATTCACAGGGAGAGAGACTGAAACTATTTTACAATCCCGCTGCTAGCAAACTCGCACCAAATGAAGATTTTGGAATCGCATTTAATGGCATGTTTTCATCATAATTTTTTCACTACGTGATAATAATCTAATAAAGAGACCCTTATGAAGGTATTATGTATATAATATAATATTTGTTTTTTTTTTCTTCTGCAGGTGGATTTAATCAACCAATCATGTGTGGTGGTGAGCCAAGAGCTATGCTACGCAGAGATCGAGGCAAGGCCGATCCTCCATATTACACCATCCAAATATGTGTTCCTAAGCATGGTAACAAAATGATTTTTGATTTTTTGTGTTTTGTATGAACAAATATTGTGATTCTTTTTAGCTGAATAAACTGTCTGAATGAGAGCAGCTGTTAACTTGATATTCTCGTTCACAAATGGAAGTGAGTGGGATGGTCCTTATAAATTGCAATTTCAAGTGCCAAAAGCATGGAGAAATCGAGAATTGGACTTCTTTAATCGGGTAAATTCAAAATGTAATTGACGTGAATCATTTTGTGATTACTCTAAATTAACGGAATAGGAATCGGTGATTCAGGGTCTCACGGAGGAATTGAGCCGAGAGGGTGCGTGCGAAAAGGCAATATATCCCGACACAAGCATTATCATTGATAGATGCCAATTGATGGGTAACTTGGCTAGCGAAGGGGTACGTAACAAGCTACAAATTCGATTGTAGATATAAAATCAGTCACTCTCACAGTCCAATGCATGTCAAACACAGTATAACCTAAGTCAGTCCAAGACACCGTCTAAGTCCTAATCCATTACGTGTCAAACACAGTACAACTTGTCGTGTCATGTCATATCATATCATATCCTGACAATATCGTATGTGGTGCAGGGGGATCGATGCGAACTTGATCTTGTAACTGGTTGCACTGATCCAGGCTCTCCCGAATACAATCCTCTTGCCAATGTAGACGATGGGTCATGCCCACCTTACTCAGATTCCGAATCCGAAGATTAACATCTACAATTGTAATATTGTCAACATTATAAAAAAAAGTAGTCCATTCAACTGTAGTTAATAGTCACTTATCGTTCATGGTCGTGCCTGTTCTTGTTAATACATTCGAATACAATATACGCAATAATACAGAACGTTAGGGAAATCAAGCTTTTTCCCTTAGTCCTAACTATTTTATAAAAAATTTCATCGTTTATTTTTTCAAACCATTCTCCAAAAGTGATGTCATTATCTTAAAACATATTTAAACATTATTTACATAGACAACATTTGATAAAGTAAATAAAAAAAGAAAGAGTCCTCATTGTGTCCCATTTCCGAGCTTTGGAGACGCAAGGAAGACCTTACGATCGCCATTGGAATTGGGGTCAATTGTGGGTGTTTTGTGGCTTTTGTCGATGTATTTTCCGGCTATGGAATCAAATAACATGCCCGCACCGATTCCGACTACCAAATCGATGGTGTAGTGGCCTCTGGTGCTCAACAACCTCACAAATTGTAATACGTTGAAGATGTCGAAAAGAATCGCCAATTCCGACCTTTGCATCCTCCTCATGTCGAGAGATGCTATAACTGATGCAGCTACGTGACCGGAATAGAATAGAAAGAACGATACGTTTCCAACCGGAAAGTCGACGTCGGAACCTAAAAATCCCTGTAGATATAAATTCTTGATCAAATCATGTTTTCAGTTAATTTTTTTTATTTTAAAAGATCAATATTTGAACTCTCATGATTATCAAAATATGGAACCGGTTACAAATAAATGAGTGATATTTTGTTTTATATAACTGGATTTCCTGTTTGAATATAAAGTATAAATATTTGGTTATGTTAATTTTACCTTTAATTTGCATACATTATTTATTATCTATGATAAAATTTGATTGAAATTATGTTATTTTCACTTGTAATTTGCATAAACTCAAAATGTATTGCTTCTATTAGGGGTTGAATTTGTACCATTAAAATTCATTTTTCTCTAAACCGTATACCATAACAACTATAATAGGTATAAAAAAAACTGCTACTGGTACCGTACCAAGTATACTTGGTACCAATTTATTTGGCTACCAACAATTTTGGTTGGTACAAATTGGTAATGGTATATACAAACTTCTTTTAATTTTCTATTATAAGATTTAAAAATAAGCAAAGATATCGGGATTTTGATGTGTAGTATAGAAATTAGTTATGTTGTTCTTTTAGCTTACAAAAGAATTTAACTGAAGTAACGCTAAAGTAACGTTTTAATATTGTGCTTTAACGTGGTAATAACTATTAACTAATACGACTAAATGACTAATATAATCTTAATAAAACTGTAAACACTAAATACAATTAACAGTTGAAATATATATATATATATATATATATATATATATATATATATATATATATATATATATATATATATATATATATATATATCAAATGAGTTGGTTAGTATGGTATTACCATGGTATTCCAATTTTTGTACCATTACCGTACCAACATTGATCAATTGGTACGGTACTACCAACCAAACATGTTGGCTACCAAATATATAGGCTACCAAGTTTCTTGGTTCGGTTGGTAACATGTTGGTTGGTTTTCCATTGTACAATTTTGTCACCCCTAACTTATATATATATATATATATATATATATATATATATATATATATATATATATATATATATATATATATATATATGTATAGAAAAACCACAGAGGCTTGACCCTTTGATTTATAGGGCATGTTCGGCAAAACTAGTTGATAGGCGTGTTTGGCAAAACTAGTTGTTAGCTGGAAGCGGGTAGCATGTAGCGTGTAGCTGGTAGCGGAAAACTATAACTTTTATTTGTTATATGAGTGTTTGACAAAAGTAGCTGGAAACTTTTGAAATATATAAAATTACATAAAATGACAATTGATTAAAAATAAATAAATATATAAATATATTTTTAAGGGTAATTATGGAAATCGATTTCAAAAGCTAAGTAGCGTTTTGTTAAATGCTACATGAAGTAGCTTTTAGATTTGAAGCGTTTTGTTTAAACTAAAAAGCTAAACGCTCGTACTACCAAACGAAGTTTTTTGTTTAAATTAGAGCGTTTTGCCAAAAACTAAAAGCTAGAAGCTCCCAAACGCTTTCAAAAGCTCCATGTCAAACCAACGCGATAGCTAGTAGCGGTTAGCGGTAGGTGGTAGTTGATAGTGTTTTGTTAAACGCCACGTGAGGTAGGTTTTGGATTTTGAGCGTTTTGTTTAAACTAAACGCTAAAAGCTTGCAGTGTCAAACGAGACTTTCTATTTAAAATAGAGCATTTTGTCAAACGCTAGAAACTATAAACTCTGAAACGTTCCGTACCAAACATGTCCAATAAAGTGTTTTGTCAGGAGATACTCTATCTAAATTTTATTTAATACGAGATATTAATCTTGAGAAATAAAATATCACCCGATTTTTTATTACTATACATCCTACTATATCTTATATTAAATGCGTGTTTAGGAGTGTCTTTTTAAAATAACTTATTAGCTTATTGACTTTTCAAAAAGTCAATAAGTTAAAAAAATGTTTTTGAACACTAACTTTATAGACAAAAAAATGCTTTCATTAATTTTCTCGTTTAATCTTTTTATTTTATTTTGATACTTGTTTTTATTTATTGAATAAGAATATAAGTAAGAACACAATGTTTTAAAAGTATATTTGATTTCTCTTTTAGAGGTAAAAGTCCCTGCTAAAATTTGTTTTCAGATAAAAAATCAAACACCAAATAACTTCTAGTCCCGTGGTATCAGATGCAACCCTCCATCTTTAAAGTTGATGGTTCAGGCTGTGATTTTTGTATAGTTACATAAAAATAAAAATCAAAACAGCTTTTCTCTCTCTCTCTCTTTATATATATATATATATATATATATATATATATATATATATATATATATATATATATATATATATATATATTACGAGGACTACTTACCTATTTATGGCATATAAAATGCATTCAACTCTATAAAATATATAGATTGTTTAATCAACATTCTATTTTCTTACACAACTTTGTCATTTAATTTATTTAACTCATCAAGTTCAATGGTACATATTGTTTATTTTCGAATATATATAGAGAGAGAGAGAGTCAAGATCAAATAAGAAGGAAATTTTTGGTAGGAAGGTAAGAAGTTTTTTTTCTACATATTTTTTTTGCGAACAAACAAAATAAATCATTAGATGATTCATTTGTAAGATGATTCACAAGAAAAAATTCTCAAAAAAACATCTCGATGATTCATTTATACAATGATTTTGTTGTTATTCACTAAAATTATCATAAAAATGAATTTTTTCTTAATTTTACTTAAAAATGAATCATAAAGATGTTTTTTTTGGGAATTTTTTCTTGTGAATCATCTTACAAATGAATCATCTAGTGATTCATTTATTTTGTTCGTCAAAAAAATATATAGAAAAAAAACTTCTTACCTTCTTACCAAAAAAAATTTCTTACCGGATCTATATCATATATATATATATATATATATATATATATATATATATATATATATATATATATATATATATATATATATATATATATATATATATATATATATATATCATGTGTTTGTTAATCATTTCCCAATTCAAAAGTACATGTGAATAGAACTATAAATTTATTGTATGTCAACTTAGCATCCTGAGTTTAATCTTTTGTATCCAACTAATTTTGTATCCAACTAACTGACATGCATTGTAAATGTTCTTAGTCAATTTTCAGGCAAAGTTGATCGATGCTTTCATTATGATATTCATTATTCACGTTATAAGGATGATAATGTGGACCAAATGACCAATGGACATATCTTTCTTTTTGAACTAATACTTTTTTATGGTTAAGTATTGATTGACAACGTGATTAAGATAATGTATTAACTTTGTACGAAAATTAGCAATTAATTTTGAATTTCGTCTATTTAACGGATTTGACAGGGTAACCTATTTATTATTTGTTAGGAAAATCTAATAATGATTTATTTCTATTTTCTTCTAATAAACGTATCATAGCAGTAGATTGCCATAATTATCTTAATCAATAATCAATATCAATAATCAATAATAAATAGATAAAACAAACAAAAAGTCACGAATGGTTTTAATTAAGTTCAAAATTACTCATTTACCCATCATAAATGTTTTAAATGTATAATTGATAATTGATATTGACATCGTCCTCTATTTTTATGAAACATATTTATTCTAATTAGATTATTTTCTAATCCCTAGTTAAGTTCAAACATAAAATAAAAACTTTATCTCCTATTTGTCTATTTAATGATCAACTTTTTTATAAATGTTTAGGACTAATGGAAATATGTTTGTTTTATGTGGATGTATGCTTTAATTAATAAACAATATTATATTTCAAAATTTTTAGAAGTAATATATTGCATAAGGGAAAGGGTTAAAATAAAGAACAATGCAAAGTACTATAATCACTTAGACCATCTCTATTTTTTCCTCTACCATCTTCAACCCATCTTTATTTTTTCCCCCATAAATGGAGTAAAAAATTGAGTAAAATAGTGTGTCATCTCCAACTCTACTTCATTTTCTACCCTATTTTTTACCCTAAAAATTATATTCCTAAAATATTCCATTTTTATAATTTCTATATATTATCAAATACACCTCTCTACTAATTAAACTCTATTTATGATTAATTAATATAAATTAGTATATAACATGATATTATAAATATTAAATATTGCATTTAAATTATAATTAGTAGATAAAATAAACTAAAAATGTATAAAATAAAAATAAAAGGGACTAAAATTGACAACCAAACTTCACTTTCATTTTTGGAGATATGTGGGGGAATAGTATTCATATCTCCAAAAATGGAGGTGAAAATGGGGTAGGGTTGAGAATAATGGAGGAAGAAATGGGGTAAGAAATGGAGTTTGGGGTGGGTTGGAGATGCCTAAATGGAGTAAAAAATGGAGGAAATAGTGTTTCATCTCCAACCCTCCTTTATTTTATATCCCATTTTTTATCCTAAAAAATATATTCTTAAAATATTCTATTTTTATAACTTATAAATATTGTCAGATACACCATTCTACTAGTTAAACTTTATATTTATGATTAATTAATATAAACTAGTATATAAAATGATATTATAAATATTAAATATTACATTTAAATTATAATTAGTTGATAAAATAAACAAGAAGTGTATAAAATAAAATTAAAAATGACTAAAATTGGCAACCAAACTTCACCTCCATTTTTGGAGATATGAATAGTATTTTCCCATAGGAGAATACTATTCATATCTCCAAAAATATATGTGAAAATGGGATAGAATTGGAGAAAAATAGAGGAAAAATCTAAGAAAAAATGGAATCTGAGGGTGTGTTGGAGATGCCCTTAATTTACAAATGCAACAAATATCTTGTAACTATTGTTTTAGAAAGCTGGCCATTGTTTTATAATTTTATGTAGATTTCACATTTATTCATTTGAAACGTTTTAATGACTTATTTATACAAAAAGTACATGTTTTGCCGATTTATAACGAAGAAAAGTTCCTACTATTATGCATGCAGTCATTATAGTTTGTTACACATTATTTTTTAATTTTACAAAAAACTTGATATCTTAATAATTTATACATGCATTAATCGATAATAGTTTAGTAACAAAGTTTAATATGACTGTATAAATTAGTAAATTATTCAATTTATTGTATATTTTAATACTAAAATTCAACTTTGTTTTATATATAATTAATTAACCTTGAATAATACTATGTTTCATAAATATAAAATGAAAGTAAGAAACGTGGAAAGTAAAAGTTGACACCTGAGGCAAAGGAAGCTGTGTGGAATAACCCAAAATGCCCCTGAAAGTGAACATCAGCAGCGCCGCAATTGTGGCTCTCGGCCGGCCCTCCACCACCCACGTTCCGATTATATACACCGTTTGCATCCCCACAAACACCTTCAAATATTGCTCAAAATTCATCAAATTAAACATCACTTGATTCTAACTAATTGATCAACCATAATTTGAACAAGAATTACCGTATTAAGTCCGGCGAGAATGGTGTTGAGTACAGGGCTGCCGGAAAGAATGCGGTGGAGCTGGACGGTGGCCACAAAGCCAATGTCAAACGGCGGTGAAGACGGAGGAATCATTGGAAGAGTGTACTCCACGCGCATGAAAAACAACAAAAATACAGCCAGTAAACACGGTATTGGGTGGAACTTCAACACAGCCGACACATCGTCTGCCGTCCATTTCATGAACGACACTTCACCAACCCGCCACCGTAGCTCATCAACCCAACTCCGCCGCAACCATAATGAGGAGGCATTAGATTTAGTGCATGCCTTTTCGAGGGTAGACGTAGCAAGTGTGTGGTCTTTGAGGTTGGTGGTGTTGGTGTGGAGTGAGGAACGGTGGTTGAGGGTGTCGCCGTTCATTGTAGCCGTGAAAAATGGGGGTGGTGAGATAAGGTATTTATAGGGGAAGGACAATAGTGGCGGAGGTTCCCATGAGAGAATGTTGGTGTTACAAATGGAATGTAAACCAAGTACCTAGTACACGTTTCAACAAACAATTAATCAATGAGAAACAACACATACAAGTAAACCCACGAGAGTGTAGATCTCTTAAATAAATTAGGCACGATCTAACTTGGTATAGGTTAACGAACCTTACGATGGCATTTCTTGTGAAATGATTATGTTACATCCCGGGATAGTTTTGTAAATTTATCTCGAACAAATTACCGAAATAGTCCCTTTGGTTTATCAAAGTTATATGTTTGGTTCGTAATTATTTTTTTGCATTCGGACCGTCCATGCACTTTGTTTTTATTGCGTTTTTGGTCCATACATAAAAACACTAATGTCCTTTATATTTACTTTTTCATATTTTTTATTTTGTTATTGTTTATTAATTAAAGAAAATGTTAATATATACAAAGCCAACGCGGACTAACCCACTTGGTAAAGGTGAAAGCCTCTTAGATTATATAACATCATGATTTTTCATTTCAGTTTTTTATTTAAAAACTTCATTTAACAAATTATAGTAATAGGAGTCTTAATTTATTCATTAGAAAATATCATCAATGTTACTTAATTTAAATCTTTCAAAATTAACCCTTCAAAATTAAAGTTTGCAAAACCGATACCAAAACATAAGGGTGAGCCTATTAACCGAAAAACCGAACCATTTTAACCGAATCACCACTGAAAGATATAGTTCGGTTTTTAATTTTTGTTAAAGGAATACATATGGTTTGGTTATGGTTTTCATCAAAAACCGAAATATTATAAACCGAACCAAACCAATAATATTAATAATGTTTTTAATATAATATAATATTAAATACATGATGTGTAATTGTATTGGGAATTGAAAATTTAAAGAGTAATTATTTGGAGTTACATAAGAAATGTAATATTCTATTAGTACAATTATATATACACAATCATTCACTTTTTATAACGATAGACTGTGTTTTTTAATTTTTATAGAAAAATCTTGTCACATCCCCGAACCGGGACGGCGGAAACGTCCAGGGGGCGAATGACGTCGTTATACAATATCATAACAATTGAATAAAATGAAACAAAGCATTACAACCATTACATTGAATATTTAACAGGTTTACATCATATCCAAATAGTGTTTACATGTTATCATATGCATGTCACAAAAATTAATAACATGATGCGACGACGTCCCATCAACCAAAACTTTTGGTGGTTATCTGTTTAATGATTTTCTGAAAATATAAGTGATTTTGAAAAGTATCAACAATTAAGTTGGTAAGTTCATAAGTATTTTATATGGAAAAAAAAAGATTGTAGTGTTTCGTGGAATTGATGGTGTATACTTCCAGAAAATCCAATAATTTCATAACAATGAGTTGTAAGTCTTAAGTATCAAGACTAAAAATGTAAGTTATAATGTACTGTAAAATGATGTAATGAAGTTTTATCTTTATATAAAACTACTTAAAATGTATGTTACTCCATAAATCAAATGTGTTGTTGATACTCTATGTCACTACTAGAAAAATAATCTTTTACGACATGCAATGCACGTCGTAAAACGCTCAGACAACGCGCAAATGCGTGTCAAGGAATGCCCTTTCATAACGAGAGACGACACGCTTTTGCGCGTCCTCTATACACGACGCGCATTTACCGCGCACAATATGTGTCAATGAAGGCCCTGTCATAGAGAGAAGAAATTGAATAAGGATGAAGATTTGATAATGAAATTAAAAACCACTAGAGTAGGGCCAATTGAAGAAATTGAAAACCTCAATAAAAAAATCAACAAAAATTAGATATAAGAAAAGATGAAGAGAATTATCAAATCTATTGAAGACGTCACATTGAAGGGTGTTTGTAACTAAAATCTATGAGATTAATGATTTTAGTAAGCTAAGTAAACAGATGATGGAGTGTTGACATAGGGAAATATGGATCCGAGCCCTAGAAGCTGAGAAGTAGACGCATCTATGAAGCCGGGTACTTGCAATTGATTTGTTGGATGTGTTGGTCCGATTTTTGGGAGGATTTTGTGTGGTCCAGAGAAAAGCGCTAGTTCTTCCAAAGTTTGGGAGGATGGATCAATGTAACGGGGCTTAGGTCGCCGACAAGGAGAAGCGAGCATGGGATCACTAGACCTGAGGTTGTCGACAAGGTGAGGTTGCTGGCAAGGTGAGGTAGCCAGCAAGGTGAGGCGAGGTGATCAGGTGATATTGGTGATCGTTGTAGAGGCAGAGCACCGAGAACGGACGTCTTTCATTGGAAGTCGACGGCGGTGGGAGACACTCGGAAGGGTCGAAGGCAGTGCCCCTGGGAGCGGGGTCCAAGGGGCAGAGAAAACTACCTTGACAGTTTTCTATAAATGAACCCGGTTTTTTGACTTCGTTTTGACCTTTATTAATGATCCGATTTTGTGACAGTTAATAGCTTCATTTTATTTACTTCTTTTTATAGTTTCTTTTTAGCACATTTCATTCGCATTTTAGTTAATTTCCATGCATATTTTCCTTTTTGTTATTTTTATAACCATTTTGGGTACTTTCTAGTTTCTTGAGCATTATTGCAAAAAAAAAAAAATTAGACTAGCAGTGCGGGACTTTTGGGAGGCGATTGGACTTGAAAAGCAATGGGGATTTCGTGCTTGATGGTTGTTGAGGTGATTCATGGAGTGGGCTTGTCAATTGCTTGAAGATGTGGAAGTGTTGAGCTTTAAATTTGAAAGGGCATGAAAGAATTCTTGGGTGTGTAAGATCGATATTTAGGAGTTTGCGGAAGTTTTGAGTGATGTGAAAAGACAAATTGGGCTCAAATTGAAGAAATATTGAAGAAAAATGGGCTAGAAGCTGACTGGACTCGAACTGGGCCAATGGATTAGCAGTGGGGGCCCAAGACTTGAAGAAGCCCAAAATCCTTCAGAGCCCGCTGCCCGCGTAAGATTCCCCGCAACCCGCGTGGATTCCTGACAAGGGCAATTTCGGGATTTTGCTAAGAGTTCTATATTGAGAAGGTTGGTGTGTGCCTCTTTAGCCTTATCTTGGAGGTCCGAGTTTGACTTGTTCTCTATGGAGTTTGGAGTACTTGTGAAGGCTAATAACACCTTAAGAACATCTTGATTTCACCTCTTTATTATTGTAAAATGTTTGGTACAATCTTATCTAACTTTGTTCCTTTGAGTTTAGCCATGCTTGGCTAAACAAATCTTGATTGATTTCTTGTTGAATCCTTTGAACTTTTGTTGAATGTTGAAGAATCCATGAACTTGTTCTTAAATGTTTATGGAAATGTTTTGTGTTTTATCATATTAGCACTACTAGTATGTTTTTATTCATCAGTTCAAATGTGTTTGTGGTGATTAGTTGGCTAATTTCTTGATTAAGTAAAGGATCCTCAAATTAGCAAGCAACAAATGATTTTTGTGTTGTTTTTGCTTTACACAATCATAAAAACATTTTCTCCAACATGGTAGTGAAAGCAATTGACTCCTCTTGGATTTGGTGACTTTTTGGTTATTAATGCTAGTTGACTCTCACTAATTACATGTTATTTGGAATTAGTGACTTTGACTAAGGAAATTGCTATGAGCTTCTATAGCCATTTCAACAATTAAGAAAAGTCTAGGTAATCTCAAGCTCCTTGGATTACTATATATCCAAATTAAGGATTTAAATCAACGTATTGCACCATTGGATTCTAATGATATGTTCATCAAAAGTCAAAGTGAGGAAACTTTAAGTCAACCATCTCTCCCTTATTGATTTTACATCAAACCCTTATTTTTGTTGAAATTGTCTACTTAAATCATAGTTAATTCTAGTTTGTTTCAAGTATTTCAAAACACCACCCCCCCCCCCCCCCATTTTATTTTTATTGTTATTTTACAAGTATTTTTACAAAGAGATTTTTCATAGAGTTATAAATTGAACCAATCTCCGTGGATTCGACCCCTTTACCACTATACACTATTTTAGGGTGTAATATTTAGGGTTATTATTTTTGTTAGCCTCGACAACCACCAACAGTTTATGATTGTTTTTGACAGTTGGAGTACTTTTTGGACAAAGAAAACTTCCTTGACAGTTTTCAGACAAATGAAGTACTTAATCATTTTGGTCATCATTTTCCTGGTACAACAATCACGAAAATCATACTTCATATTCTATGTTCTTGAAACTCTTCTGAGTCTTATCCGATTAAAGGTTGGCAGTACCACCCAAATACTTTAATCTGAAAGTGTACACACGATTCTAAAAATTTCCAAGCCTTTTATTACCCCGAATTCTAACACTCTACTCTAAGACCATAACCAGACAAGGAACAAAAAATAAGGCCAAATCAATCATTCTGAGGCTATAAGACCCTAACCGTACAATTTTGAAAGCATACACATAGCAACATTCATACAATTATCATAACTCATATATCCATATAGCATGGCTAACATATTGGGGAAACTACTTACTTGGCTCGGTCGATCACACGCATTGCACTCTCCTCTTTTCCATTTTAAGAAATTTTAACTTTGATTTTTGAAAACAATTCTACCATTTCCTTAGTTTGAGTCCTGACACACCTGAGGGTGTGCCCGAATCCCTCAAACCAAGACTCTGATACCAACTTGTAACAACCCAACTTTCAAAAGATTTTTTTTTCATTTTTAAATAGTAAAAAACATTTCCAATAAACCATAAAATCTCAAGTATATTTTTTTCAAATTCATAACATCAATAACATTCTTCCAGACATCAGAGTGTCCCATAAAAATGTCTGAGAGAGAGTGCATGTTGTGTCATCAAGCCTTGCGCTTACCTTAGGCTCATATGTACCTGAAACAAATCCACAAACTGTAAGCTAATGTTTAATGAGTTCCCCATAGCATATTACACACAATCCACATAATCACATAATCATATTAGATATAAAAGCTACATAAACCACATAAACCATGCATACAAACATATAAGGAAGCCATGGAAACCCTCCAGGGTCTTACACCTAGTGTCATTGGAATCCCCACGTGGTCTTAACTATCTACCATGGGAACCCCCACATGGTCTTCCTAACGTGTGAACCCCCACATGGTTTTCCTGCCATGGGAACCCACATATGGTCTTCCTATCGTGGGAACTCCCACACGGTATTTACTACCAAGAAATAACATACAACCCACACATGAAAATATACTAGAATGCCATGGAAACCCTCAAAGGTGTTACACATAAGCGCCTCGGGAACCCCTCGAGGTCTTTCATGCAAGTATCACAAATAACTAGCATACCACATATCCCATAACCAACTAGTCACAACTCATAACAATAATGGGTCGGCCTTGGTGCCTTAGACCTATTGGTATGGTAAGGAGAATTACCTCTCAAGAATGCCGAACTGATAAGATAAAATAAGATAAGTCCCAATGCGCAACTCTAACTGAACTACCTATAACCATCATGTGATTAACTTGTTAAAACCTGAAATATCATGAATACTTTCAAAGTCAAACTTGGTCAACCCTGGTCAAAGTCAAGTCAACAGTCAAGGTCAACAGTCCATGTTGAGCCCAACTCATCGAGTGTATCCATCAACTCATTGAGTTCCTTCAGATTTCATACAACCGAAATCCCGAGTCAACTCGTCGAGTCACCCGAGTAACTCGTCGAGTTCCTTAATGTCCAAGGGCCGAAAACTCTAAACTGAAATCTCTTGACCGAAATCTCTTAATCAGCTCACCAAAATCACTCAGGATCCCGAAAATGGGAAAACCCTACACAACTCGTCGAGTTGGCTAAGCAACTCGCCGAGTCCCTTCAGCCCTTTTTGTGTTCAGTCCTTTCTAGTGGAATCCAAGGCTCCAAATTATAGATCCAACTCCTTATGTTGTAGTTACCACATAAAGTTGCAAACTTTACGTACATGCAAAGCCTCACAAGGCTAGAACACTAAAACTAAGGTTCCTTCAAAGGTTTTAGTGCATGGAAAGGGCCTAAACTGGATAAAGTGGGCAACTTTATGTCATTTAAGACCTAGAGGTGTCCAAATATGGAACCATATCCTTATGATAAGTCCAAATCCGAGTATGACACCGTTTTTGCACCAAAAGCGACCATATTCTTCCATAAGATGGGATATAAGCAAATAGAGATCAAGGTAGCAACTTTTTACATCTAAATGGATGCCAACAGCAGGTAGATGCCGGATCCAAATCCTTCTCCTCTTCAACCTTTAAGTTTCCTTCCAAAAAGCACAAGATTCATTCTTCAAAGCTCACACACACTCAAGAAAGCACCATTACACGTGTCACAGGTAGTTTCAACAAGCCTCCACGTCGTGGACCTCCCTTGGCCACGTCGTGGGCACTAAATGTCTAAACAATCGACCATTACCCTAGTCGCCACATTGTGGCAGCTTAAAGGCCACGTCGTGGAAAATGGTCTGAATAGCTTAATCGTGCTTAAGTTGTTTTCTTCCTAATCCAAGGGATCCAAAGTCCAAATTTTGTCCTTCCCCATGTCCTGGTGAATAAAGTTTCCAACTTTATTCATCAAGGCATCGCAAAGTGTCAAAATCTCAAACCCTAAGTCCATAATGGCAACCTAAAACATGCACTTACCCATTAAGAACTTAATCAACCAAAATCACTTCTCTCAAGTTCCAGAAGGGTTTTCCACACCTAGTGGACCATAAAAATCATGGCTTTATGGACATGCATGTTCGATGCATGCCCTTCCCAAATTAGGTCATACACATGAGAAAATGAACCCAACTTTGTCCATGAATCAAAATAAGGCAAGAAACTTCAGATCTATACCATATAACCTCAAAGGGACCATGAGGATCCATAAAGTTGCCAACTTTATGGAATCCATCCTTCCAAACTTTCACAATTTGAAGATCAAAGGACAAAAGGCTTAGATCTAATAGCAAGCAACATAAAGTTAGGATATTTGACACTTAGGTGTTGTTTGTTTTTTTAAAGCCTAAGGTGTTGTTTGTTTTTTCGAAGAGAAATTGCTTGAAGTCTGCGGACCACCTCTTCAATCCTTTGTAGCAGAAGAGGTGGAACAAACGGCTGCAGCATGTAATAAAAAATATGTTTGTTTTTTAACGTCTGCAGACTGCTGCAGTAAGTTAAACTAATGTGTGAAGAGGTTTGAAGCAGTTGGTTTAGTGCTGCGCCACGCAACACACACGCATCAGTTTTTAAGTCAGAAGTCTTCTGAAAAACAAACAGCTGCGAATGGCCAAGTGTTGCGCGTGTGCTGCGCGGCGCAACAATAAGTGGTTTGAAGTGTGTTTTTTTAAAAACAAACAACACCTAAATGTCTGCATTCTGAGGACCACATCTGCAAGCCTCTGCTGCAGATGAGGTGGACCAAATGTCTACAGTTTGCAATAAGAAGATTGTTTATTTTTAACGTCTACAAGTGTTGAAATAAATTGATTTTTTAAACTTAATTTCATGTCATAAACATTAAAAATGCATTTTCAGCAAAAAAAAATAATAATAATAAAGAAAAATTTTGGTTGCCTATTTTTTTTAAGGTTAAAATGAGGTCTGAAGACATTTAAAGATAGTGACCTATGTCTGCATCAGGAAGACCTCGCGCATATGTTTTTTTGATATGCGCACTTTCAAAAAACAAACACTCTACGAGGGCATATGTCTGCGCGGCGCAAACAAAAGTGGTTGCACAAATCTTCTAAAAAAAAACAGTCCCTTATAAAGGTCCACATAATACACAAGAGAAGAATGATGAGGCTTGCTTGCTGAATCCACACACTAGAGCAACTTCTTTTTTCCTTTTCTTCTTCTTCTTCTTCTTCTTCTTCTTCTTCTTCTTCAAACCACCAAGAACACTAAAATGGACTAAGAGTCACCAAAAGAGGTTAGGATTAGGGTTGTAACTGTCTTGAGAGTGATGGAGGCTGAGGGTGAGCAAACCTAGCCTACACTTTTCTTTAAATAACTGGAAATTAGGGTTTTTCTCATGAGATGGTCGTCACATCGTGGCCAACATATGCAACGCCGTGGGGACCAGATTAAGGTCTGCGAACATTTTAGTCATGCCAAGTTGTGGTGATGTCTCCACCACGTCACCCAAAATTCAGAAATTAAATTAAATAAAATACCTCAACATTCAGAAATTAAATTAAATAAAATACCTCAACGAATCCGGATATTACACTACGATTGCAACGAGAATCATAGAAGTCGATATCATAATAGTTTTAATAAGAGTTTTATAGGTTTATAGATTTAGTTTGGTTGAATAACAATTGAGCAAATGCAAAGAGACATGCATGCAAGACACAACAAAAGATGCACCATGACTAACCACCAAAAGATTGTATGTACTATGTAGTATCTTGTTTGTGTGTATGTATAAACACACGTCATTTACGTATATTAAATATACGTAATTGTTGGCATCTGACACATGATCGATTATTTCGTGAAAAAAATAAAATCGAATGACATAACACTGAAACCAATTTGGGGTGAAAATAGGAACCAAGTACCAAATCATATATTTGGAATTGATTCGGATTTAGGTCGGTACCTGATCAATATTTTGTCTATAATGTTTATTAATAAATTTGTCTAAATTTGGCAGTTATTTTACTTATAAAAAGGTTTTCGAATAAAGAAAAAAGCTAATCGTATGGTGCTCATTGAAAATAGAAAAAAAAAACAATATAATTATTTTATTGAAGTTCTTTTTAAGTTTTATACTATATAGTTTATAGAAATAAAAAGGGAATAAAAATAAGATTGAACAACGTAGTAAAGTAGGATACGCCGTCCTGACCGCTTGAGTCCAATGTGGCGTCGTTGAAGATGATGGATCGATTTTAACCGTAAATCTTTATTCGGGCGGGTCTCGCCTCATGCCCCACTGGAATCAATAAAGAACCCTAAAATTTCTCGCCATTCACTGTCCACTGTCATACTATGAGAGTGGCCAAGTGAGAGAAAGCGTGATTACGAGGATTACAAAGGGGCTAGGGTTATCACACTCACAAATCCAAAGGTGTTCGTCTCCTCAGTAACGAATCACGAGTCACATCGCTCAAGCTCAACCCACAACCATTGAGCATCGGCGATTACAACCTCCATCCGATCTCCGACCTCCGACCTCCGACCTCCAACCTCCTTGACGTTTTGTCCAGCTGTACTTCTGATCTTTATCGTCCTCATCACTCCTCTCCTCAACTGGTAAACTTTTACAATAGCTGAATCTCGAATATATCTTTTATAAATTTGTCAGTTGTTGAATGTTACCAGACTTATAGCTTTCTTTAATGGTTTTATAGTAAGTAACTTCAAGCGTTTCAATGTTTGATTGTAATCAAAGTTTGGTTCTGAATTTCTGATATGTTGCTGCAAAGTCCTAAAGTTTGGTTGTGATAACTGATAAAAATAGTGCGTCAGAGGAAATAAAAATAGTTGTATGAAAGGCAAGTTGAACAGCTAACTTTTTTTGCAGATTGTTATGTTGTGCCACATGTCATTATCATGGTTACTCGACTGTATTTGGACAATGTATACTCACTGAAGGCTATTATCTTACCAAAATCAAACCTTTTTTTTTTCGTGCTTATGATTCTTTAACTGAAACATAATGTTGTTAGTATTCACTTTTGTATGTTTTCAACTCCAGTTGGTGGTGGTGTCTGGTGTGTTTTGCAGGGATAAAAATGGTACTAATGTCTCAGGCAAGTCAATCCCATGGCATTCGTACTGAGATTTTGCTATGTAAATCATCTGTAAACAACATGAGTGCATTTAGACCTAGGATCTCAACCATTACCTTTCCATGGGATTCCTCCTCCAAGAGTAGCCAAAAGATGCATCATGTAGATGCCATTGGTGTAAAATCCAAACGAGGAAATCAAGTAATTGTTGCTGCAAGTCCTCCCACAGAGGATGCAGTGGTTGCTACAGACCCACTTACAAAAGAAGATCTTGTGGGGTACCTTGCTTCTGGATGCAAGCCTAAGGAAAATTGGAGGTTCTTACTTTTTTGTCTCTTATGCTAACTATTTTATTCTGCACATATGTATCTGTGTTGATTAATGATGAATGTTATGGCTATTGCAGAATAGGAACTGAACATGAAAAGTTTGGGTTTGAGCTGAAAACATTGAAGCCTATGACATATGGACAAATAGCAGATCTGCTTAATGCTATTTCTGAGAGATTTGACTGGGAGAAAATCATGGAAGGGGACAATATAATTGGGCTTAAACAGGTAATCAGCACTGCATATTTAAAAAACCCAAACAAGACCTAAGCTTTCTGTTTGATTCTATGTGGTCTATTTCTAAACTTTAAAAAAAAAAAAAAAAAAAAATTGTCAGGGAAAACAAAGTATATCTCTGGAACCTGGTGGTCAGTTTGAGCTTAGTGGTGCTCCTCTTGAAACTCTCCATCAAACCTGTGCAGAAGTGAATTCACACCTTTACCAGGTTTGTAAATTGTAATGATTATATAATTCCATGTGTTGAAAATGATACCCATGTGTATGTTACTTTACAGGTGAAAGCTGTTGCTGAAGAGATGGGAATTGGATTTATAGGGATTGGTTTCCAGCCAAAATTGGAGAGAAAAGATATACCTATAATGCCTAAGGTAAAAATAATTTAGTTATTTTAGTAATTTTCTGAATATGAAAGAAAAGGAATAGATTTGAGATATGGTGTGTGGTGAGAATGTCAATGTCAATGACATTGAATGAATGTTTTGTCAGGGAAGGTATGAGATAATGAGGAATTACATGCCTAAAGTTGGTACTCTTGGACTTGACATGATGTTCAGGACATGTACTGTTCAGGTATATATTACATACAACTAATTCTTGATTTGATTTAATTTATTTTTTAATTAAAGAGTTGAAATTACACATATGACCTTGGCAGGTGAATCTGGATTTCTCTTCTGAAGCAGACATGATAAGGAAGTTCCGTGCTGGTCTTGCTTTACAACCTGTGAGTGGAGTAGAGTATGCATATTAGTTTTCAGTAATTGTGGGTGTGAATTTATATATATATATATTACATGAATGTGAATCAGATTGCTACAGCACTGTTTGCAAATTCACCATTTACAGAAGGAAAACCAAATGGTTATCTCAGCATGAGGAGGTCAGGTTTCTATTTCAAATATAATATATATTGAAGGGAAAGAATTAGAAACTGAGACTGATAAATTATTAACTTGTATTATATATTTAGTCAAATTTGGACGGATACTGATAACAATCGTGCTGGAATGCTTCCTTTTGTGTTTGATGATTCTTTTGGGTAACTTTCCTTTCCCCTGATTAATCAATATTACTTTGAATATGTTTATATAGTGATACTGATACACTCATTTCTTTTATAATGGACTTGCTCTCAGGTTTGAGCAATATGTGGAATATGCCCTGGATGTCCCTATGTATTTTGTGTATCGCAAGCAAAAGTATATCGACTGTGCTGGATTGTCCTTCAGGGTAGCCTGAATAATAAATTTGAAAAACATATTATATATGTATATGTATATATGTAATTTATTTATCTGTCTATGCGATGATAATTTGCATGCATGCATGCAGGACTTTTTGGCAGGAAAACTTGGTCCAATTCCAGGAGAATATCCAACTCTGAATGATTGGGAGAATCACCTCACAACAATATTTCCTGAGGTACATGCTATATATATATATATATATATATATATATATATATATATATATATATATATATATATATATAATATTGGGATTTGTTACTTGGTGATTGAACAGGTGAGATTGAAAAGGTATTTGGAAATGAGGGGTGCTGATGGAGGACCATGGAGGAGGTTATGTGCATTACCTGCATTTTGGGTATGTAATAATATGTTGAAAATATGCAGACAGATGAATAATAGTATATGTATATATGTGTTGTTTAAATAAAAATGGAAAATGGAAAATGACAGGTGGGCATATTGTATGATGATGTTTCTTTGCAAAAAGTTTTGGACATGACAGCCGATTGGACTGCAGAAGAAAGACAAATGTTGAGAAATAAGGTAGTAAAGAATTTTCTTTCTTTCTTTTTGTTTCTCATTATGCAATGCAATGGGATAATATTATTAATATTAGGTGCCTGTAAGTGGTCTGAAAACCCCATTCCGTGATGGATTGCTGAAACATGTTGCTGAAGAAGTTGTAAATTTTGCAAAGGTAATTAATTAATTAATTATCAATCTAATCATATATTATTGATACATACAACATACTCTTAATAAAAAAAATATATAACATGTATGTTTTATGTATGCAGGATGGGCTGGAGCGAAGAGGATACAAAGAAACAGGATTTTTAAATGAAGTGGCAGAGGTTGTTAGAACAGGTGAAGAATTACTTACACACTTCTTATTTGATTTCCCAATATTTATTTGTTTTTAATTTGTAAACTATGTATGCAAGGGTGTTTCTTTTTTACTAATTACATCAAATTTTTTACAAATTTGGTTTCATGTGATGTGATGTGATGCTCAGGTTTAACACCAGCAGAGAAGCTCCTGGAGTTGTACCACGGGAAATGGGGACAAAATGTGGATCCTGTATTTGAGGAACTGCTCTACTAACTACTAAGAAGAAGATTGTTGTCCATATTTCCTCCTCTTATTCTGTATGTTGTTTTTTTTCCTAATAAAAAAAACCTTTTGGTTTCTTTCTACACTGTATGTTATGAAATACACCACATGATGTATATGTGTTTGTAGGAATAAGCTGTGACACCAATGATATGATGATGGAAAAACATGCAATCATTATTATTGCAGCAGTCAGTCAGTGAGTGAGTTGTACACCTACCTACCTACCTGCAGTCTGCAGAATAACTCAACTTACGAATGAATGATCTGTGTCTCTGTGTGTACTTTTGTTTTTAGTTTTGTAAGAAAATATTGTTGTATTGAATTAGCGTCTTTATCTTTATGGTTGTTTCCTCTACATTCCTAAGTAGACATCATACTGGCATATGAGACTAGTCTCCATCAACTGACCTACCATTCCATGTTACTTGTTTACCAATATTGATACTTGTTTGGGTTTTATTAATATTATTACTATTATCTGAACCCAACCCAGGTTCATGTATCATGTATGGTAAACACAATACAGTGGAAGTTGCTTAAACTATATATTTTTCATATGAATGAATATAAAGTTGTAAGTTTTTATGATTTCCATGCTCATAATTGGCCTCCTTGTTTATAGACATTTCAAAAAGTTAAATGAACATAAAGCTTATTAATTATTTATTTGACCCCCTACTTGGTTTGTTTTAAGTAAAATGTGTATATTTGAATTATTTTGTTTTGTGAATTGAAGTGATACTACTGATGGGAATGAAGTGATGATTAAAAAGAAATTTAAGATGCTATTATGTATTATCGACAGGAAGACAACTCAACTTACCCTTATAATCACATTGCTTTAGATGTTGATAACCACGATTGATTGATTCATTCATTCATTACAATTACAATTACTATTACTTGACAATGCCATTGCAACCACACCAACTTTGAGATGTGAAATTGCAAATGATGTGACCACCCATATTAAGTAATGTCCCAGTTTGGTTGCAATAGTAGTCCACCACGATAAAGTTAATAATATTAATTAATAGATATTCAAGGAATAACAATGAATATGTACCTTTTTAGGTTTTAAGTTCATATCCGATAAAATCTCCACAATATAGTTATCCACAAGCTTTGAAAAATTCATTAATGATTTAAAATCACTATCTATTTATGAAAAGTTATAAAAAATTGGTCATTCGTTCGATAAAGTCCGTATCATATATCAGAATTAGTATAACTAAAGATCATAATTCCGTAGCAAATTCTAGCTACATTCTTATCTTCATTTCAAGTGATTCTTGACATTTCTCATCACATCCAAAAGTCACTGTATTTCAGATTTCTTTTCAAGTGATGTCAGAGAATAGTATCATGTCAACATGTCACATGCAACTTGGTTGACAACTTAAGTAGTCGTTAGAATTGTAACAAGTGGGTAAAATGAATGTCCAATTTGAGACAAAAATACAGTGTGAATCAAATTTTTATGAAAACTTAATTAATGATTTTTATGGAATTTGTCATTTAATTAAGTCTTAACCCACATATAACATGAGACTTTTGATGAGAAAATGGAAAGAATGTTGGCAATATACGAACACCAGTGTTGAATATAAGAAAGTGACGATAACTTCATTGTCTGGTAGAATATGCATCATCGAACACCACATCCGGCCGGAAATACGCGTATAACGACACAACTACAATTATTAGAATTTCTCTCAGATGTTCTTTCAATATGTTTGTGCTTTACAAGTTATGTAACTTTATGAAACAATTTGTAAGTTTTCTTATAATGATTTTATGAAGCAAGATAATAGAACAAAGCTGGACCGATTTTATAGTTAAAAATTCTTGGACAGTTCAACGATCGCAAAGACTATCAGACGATACCGGACCAAAAAAAAACATCCAAGTCCAAGATCGATTTTGTTTACCTTTATCAGGTAGTAATGTGTAAGGTGTATGGTTGACTTGTGCTTATTAACCATTAAGTGACATGAAAGACTTGAATCAGCCCAACATAGAAGAAAATGAGACGTTGAGAAACACAAGGAAACCCCACAAAAAAAATACTAATAAAAAAATGGAACCCCACTAGTTGCAAACATTGATAACAAAGTGTATTTCTCGTGAAGTACATTTACTGATGTACCCTGCATTTATTTCACATCCCCATTTCCTCGTGAAAACCTTTATTACTTATTATTATTCTTGTACTCCAATCCTTTATAAAAACCCTCACTCTCACAATAATTCTCTGAATCCATTTATAAAAAAAATGTCTCTCTTTCTTTCAATCCTAACCCTAACCCTAACCCTTACTTTATTCATTCCTACATGTCTCTCGTTTACAGTCATTATGTCGGATTCAGGGGTCCCATCTGCTCTTGTAGATGCACCTCAAACAGGGTTTTCTGTAAACAACAATGGTGCTACAACCGACCGTGATGAGCAACAAGCAGTTTACGACATCATGAAAGCTACCGGAAACGATTGGGCCACTGACATCCCGGATGTCTGTAGAGGACGTTGGCATGGGATTGAGTGCATGCCAGATAAAAACAACGTTTTTCATGTTGTTTCATTATCTTTTGGGGCATTATCAGATGACACTGCTTTTCCTACTTGTGACCCGACCCGATCATATATTTCACCTTCCATCACCAAATTACCACATATCCGGACCTTGTTTTTCTACCGGTGTTTTACCGACAAGCCGCAACCTATTCCGCCGTTTTTGGGCCTAATGGGCCCCACTTTACAGACTCTTGTTTTAAGGGAAAATGGACATGTGGGTCCGATTCCTACTCAACTTGGTAATCTAACCGGTTTAAGGGTTCTTGATCTTCACAAGAACAACCTAAACGGTTCAATTCCGGTTTCTTTTAGCCGGTTTACTGGTTTAAAGTCTTTAGATTTAAGTAGTAACAAATTAACCGGTTCGATTCCGAGCTTTGCCTTTCCTGAACTCACTATACTAGACCTCAACCAAAACCACCTCACTGGTTCAATTCCAACCGAAATCGGAAACTGCGGTTCCCTCATGAAAATCGATCTAAGCCGTAACCGACTCTCCGGCGTAATTCCCGATTCCATCGGCGGATTAACGAGTCTAATCTTGATGGATTTAAGCTACAATAGCCTCTCCGGCCCAATTCCAACGTCCCTAAATAACTTAGATTCCCTTCAAGCTCTCATCCTCAACGGTAACCCGATCAGTTCCATGATTCCATCCACCGCGTTCGATAAGTTTAAAAGCTTAATGATCTTAATCCTCTCGGATACAGATTCATACGGACCAATACCTGAGTCAATAGCCCGATTACCAAACTTACGAATCCTCCACCTTGATCGGAACCGTTTAAACGGATCCATTCCAACAAGTTTCCGGAACGTGAACGGTTTGAGCGAGCTCAGGCTGAACGACAACCAATTGATGGGGCCGATTCCGTTTGATAAAGAAATCGTTTGGAGAATGAGAAGAAAATTGAAGCTTGAAAACAACTTAGGGCTTTGTTATGATGGTCGAAACGGGTTTGGATCCGACTTGGGCTCGTTATCGGATTCGGGTATTGATCATTGTGATATGCCAAGACCGGGTCCGGCTCAAATGGTGCAACACGTTGCCACGACAAATGAAGGTGAACCGGGTCTAGCGAACGGTGGAATTAGTTATAGTGTAGGTTTAGTTCAGTTATTAACGGTAGTTGTATTTTCTGTATTTTTATTATAAGTAAAAGTTAGACTTTAAATCAGTTAGTGGCAGTAGACGTATTTTTCTTGTAATTAAATTTGTATATATATTTTTTTAATTATGTTTTATGATATTTGTTAGGAATATTTTTACATATTCTTTTTCATTAGTTAAAGATTAAACTGCACAAATAGTCACTATGGTTTGTTTAAAATTGTCACTTTTATCTAAAAATATTTGGATTAACACCACAGGTCCAAAGTTTTCTTTTTGTTGCTTGTTTGGTCCAATCTGTTTTGATTTTTTTCCAAATGACTGATTTGTCCCTATTAATATGATTTTCTTTTTTTTCTTATTTTGTTTTTCTGATTTTCAGATTTAAAAAATAAAAAATTAAAAATTAAAATTAAAATTAAATGAAATTAAATCTCTTTTTTTCTCTCTCTAGAAAGAACCCACGCACGCACACTCCACACACGAACATAATCGATGATGAACACACACTCCATAATCTATTTGTAAGTGTGTGGTTGAATACTCCACCCAACAACACCGGTTTCACAGATGAACTCCACCGCCGACCACCCTCATCCACCACAACCCTTACCGGAAACATCATCATCATCATCTCTCTCGCTTCACCAAACTAAATCAACCCAAATGTGTCAAACATCACTACATCTCCCACTCAAGAACACACAACCACCACATCAACGCCTGAGAAGACCCGTGAGCCGTCGAGAAGAAACCTACTTGTCGGGCGTTATCTGATTCACTACATCTCCCACTCACTTCCTCTGATTTTTATCGAGAATTGATTTCTGGAACCATTTTGGATTTCGATTAAAAATTGATTTCCGAAACAACCGTCTCTGCGATCCACAACTCGACGAAGACGATGGGAGCCGCCCGTCTCTCTCCTTCTTCGGCGATGTTGTTTCTACTCTCTGATTTCGGTGGCACTTAGGGTTTCAAGCGATGGTTTGCAAACGTGGGTTTCAGATGCGCCTCCGTTTAGGGCTTCAAGAGATGGCGGCGGCGGCAACAAAGAGGGAAGATGGATGGTCGATGTATCTCCAACCTCTTGAGAATCGACGAGCACCATCGGCGACACATCACAACTTCAGATCCAAAGTTTTTTTTTTTTTTTGGTTGAATGTGACTTGATGTTGATTTCTAGATTTAATGTTTTTTTTTTGTATTTTTGTTTTCTTTTGTGTGTATGTATGAGAGATAAGAGAGAGGTAAAGATAGAATAAATGGTGGTGGTGGTGGCAGAGAGTGGTGGTCGATGGTGGGGGGGTCGGTATTTATTTGTGTGTGAAAGAAGAAAGGATGAAGGAAGAAGATGATGGTGGGAGATTGTGTTCTTTACAAACACACACACACACACAGGGAGAGAGAGAGAGAGAGAGAGAGAGAGAGAGAGAGATTTAATTTTTATTTTTATTTATTATTTTTTTAAAATCTAAAAATCAGAAAAACAAAATAAGAAAAAAAGAAAATCATAATAACAGGGGCAAATCAATCATTTTGAAAAAAATCATAACATATTGGACCAAACAAGCAACAAAATAAAAACTTTGGACCTCTGGTGCTAGTCCAAACCTTTTTGGACCAAAGTGGCAATTTTAAGCAAACCATAGAGACCATTTGTGCAATTTAGTCTTAGTTAAATAGTTTTCACGTTTTGGTTACTTGCTATACAAAATATACTAATTGTTAATATACTGCTTAATCATCGTTAACACCCAGTTCTCAAGTTCAACTTGATGGGATAAAGGAAAGGAAATTGGGGGAAATGAGAAGAAAATAAAAAAAAAAAAAAATGGTGTTCCTGAGTTTCATTAAAGGAGAGAAGTGGAAGGAAGTGGAGAGAAATGGGAGGATCACCTTCCATCTTAACTTTCCTCCCGAT